CTTTATTTTACAGTTAAAATATATGTTTATCAAATAAAGTCTAATGTTACAACTAATCGAGGATCCCTTCAATATGAAGGTTTAAAAAAAATTCCCCAAACTCTGCCCACCTAACAGTAAGCGCAGATGTTGAACATGATACGACAACATGTGAAGATAAACTGWGAGGATTTGAAGAAATGGTAAAATCCACACCTCTTTGCATACAGTATGTGCACCAGCTTGCAAGAAGAGAGATGTGCACGCACCTCATGCGCTCTTAACAAATTGCACCCCTCAAAAGTAACACAAACAGAGCCGCAACTCAGTTCTGCTGTCTTGTCTTTGAACATGGATGTGGTTTTTCACATCCCGGGTTCTGTTCTCCCGTCACGGGACCGCCGCTGCTCAGGACGTTTTCGGGTGTTTTTGTGCCTTACGCAGGGTTTAACTACACTTTTTTCTTTGTTTTTGCATTTCAGATCATAACTTTGTTTGTACACGTGATGATTTTAGAGCTGATGGAATCAAAACAGCTGCTGTGCTTTGGAACAAAACACTGGTTTTATGCCAGTTTCTGTGCTTCATTGAAAAAAAGTGGATATTTTTGTGCTAATGCAACGTTAAGTTGCAAAAGGTTTTCTAGACATAATAAATAATGCAGAATAGCTAAAGCTAAAGGAAAAAAAAGAGGTCAAATGCTCATAGTTAGCTAACATTCTAGGAGTCAGATTGCAAATGAGCATCATTAAACAGTGTCAGAGGTGAAAAGGACATTTTGGCTCCGGGGTTTGAGGCTCTTCACCACACTCGAGCCCAGCTAATTAGCTTGAGAAAGCGAAGTCAAGCTCATCACTTCAGGTTTAGATAGTGAATTTGTGCTCACTGGAGCTCATCAGCGTTTGTCTATTTGTGCTCATTTGCTGAATYCATCCATCTCACCTCATAAGGCCTTCCTCCATGTGGAGATCTTCAGGGCATGTCAGGATGTGATTAACTCTTGATCCTGGCTCTGATCAGGAGCAACCAAACTGTCCTGGTTATCCTCAATCCTTACAGTATGTGATGGGATGAATCTCAGTTATTACCACACTAAATATTAATTCAAAATCTGTAAAACTGCCTGAGTCACAGCCATTATTGTGTTTGCTGAGATCAGTGAGCTGTGGCAGCCATCTTGAATTGGGTTAGCTCCAAATGCTAATCAGCTGTAGCTGTACATTTAATAATTATTTACTGAGAGTTTCAATATAATGTAGATATTTTGGGAACAAACAGACAAACCTACACACACAGAGGCAATGACATTTAGCCTTTCAGGGTGGCAGGTGATAATTGACTCACTAAATGAATCTTGCAAACTGTGCTTCATAGAAAAAACCCAACTTTACATTTATCTTAGTTATCTGCTGTTAGTTTGTTGTAGCTAAACTGGTATTCTTGAATTTTTTAATGTTTTTTCTTTTGTTATATTAACCCAATTGTTTTCTTACTGTTAGTTTTCATTCCAAGAATTCACAYAGAAGTGTCAGTTTTCCTCTAAGTGATAATTTTGTAAAAACCCTTTGTGTTTTTTGGGCTTTAAGATCAAGATCATATATTCATATTTGTTCCGAGTCTCTTTAAACCAGAGGTGCCCAAAGTGGGGCCCGCGGGCCAAAATTGGCCTGCCAAGCCATTTGATTTGGCCCACCAGCAGTTGTCCTGCTACTAGATTGTATTCTCCTGTTTTATGTAGAAACACTGTATTTCCACTTAGTCAATCCAACCACTGGTCCAACTAGGCTGTAGTGCCGATAGTATCACGGTAGCCTACTTACTTTATCTTTGAGTCATATTAGAATTAAACATAAAATACAAGTAACTACAAGAGACATTTAGATTAGATTTAAATACACATCTAGATTTGCACACTCCATAAGACCACAAATACTCCAATTTTAATTTATGAAATGTCCCATGAGCTTTTGCTGCTCGAGTGTACGTGAAACTTTTTGGGAAAAAAAGTGGGCTGCTAGCTTAATCATGAAAAAAATAAAACAACTTTATTTAAGACGTATTTGCATTTCATGTATTGTATTATTGCATTTGGCCCGTAGCCCTCAGATCGATTTTCATTTTGGCCCTCTCAGGGAAAATGTTTGGGTGCCCCGCTTTAAACCGTCTGCGTCTCAGTATAAATAAAATAAATTAAAAGGCAACAAGTGCTTACCCTTTAAAACAAGTTCAACTTTAGTGCCAAGCTTGAAGGTAGTCCCAGTTTTCTCCTCCTCCTCCCTTTTTGAACATTTCTAGTTTGTGACCCGAGTCACTCTGCTTGAGGAGCGCGTTTAAGGTTCTCATGGGAAAAGGTAACAATGTGGCCCATAAAAGAGAGTTATGAGGTGGTACTGGATGCGCCGAGGTTTAGTGTCAGCGTTGCTTTTCATTTAAGATAACTTTGACATCTTCATGGGCTCTCCGCCGCACCCGCCGTAAATAAAGGTTGTGTGCAAATGTTGCTGCAACATCTTGTTCAGGAAACACTGAAGTGAGGGCTTGTTCGGCTACCAGAGCCACGGTTAAAGGGGACATATCGTGCAAAATCCACTTTTTTAGCCCTTAAATTCATTCTGTTGCGTATGTGGAGTTTCTAGGAGTGCAGAAAATTTGGTGCTTCGTATATATCTTTATATTCTGCTTGGATTATATTTTTCAACCCGTTTAGTTTTCTGCGTTTTCTATGATGTTTTATAAACTATTACATCACAGAAGTTGTGACGAAACTACCAAATAAGGTCTGGACTTAACCAACTACTAATTGGTGGTCTTCATTCTCCTCTGGCTCTGGGTCAGACTCTGGCTCCAACATGTAAGGTTGGATGGACAAGTTGTCCATTGCTGATATCTTTTATAATTAATTTGTAAATAAAAGGTTTCTGCACTGCTATGCAATTGTAAACCCCTCTATCAAACTAGAATGGATCGCTCTGGAAGCTGGAGGGGGGTGGGGTGGAGGAGCATCTYATTTAGGTTTAAAGATACAGCCTCAAAGCTAGTTGATCTGAGGCACACCTCAGAAAAGTGCTGAAAGGGGGGCTTGTGGAGTTACAATAAGGAGGAAAGCATAGTAGATCCACTTTATTTAGACCCCAAATGAATGATTTAAAAGTGAAAATTATTTTTTCATGATGTGTCTCCTTTAACGGTTCACTTCAGCTGGACCAAGACAACCAGCGATCGTTGGTCTGATTCAGTTTCATATCATAACCTTTTGTTTCTTTATTGGTCTGTTACTGGGACTAAACAAAGAATTCTATATAGAAGTTTTTCTGTTTGCTAATTTAGAGATTGCATCATGCTGCTCCATTAAAAAACCATAACCATCAATTTA